GCACACCGGATCGATGTATCCCCTTTCTTTATCTGCGGGTGCTGAAGTGACAGGCACATGACCCGAACCAACATCAATGGACAAAGCCACCAGCACACTGAATTCTTCAGAAATAAAACGCTTTTATTAAGGTCTCAGAACAAACTCATCACAAGTGGAAGTGCAACGTTTTGGGGCCACACAGGATCCATTCATCACTAATGTACTGCTTGGCAGGCGGTGCCACTTGCCAAGTTTGACCATTGAAGTCAATGGTAACACACCACAAATGCTTGACGTCTGGTTGCAGCTTGGCATGTCAGAGTAAAATGCCCCTCGGAATGCAAAAAAAAAAAAAGCATTCAGGAGACGGCAATATCGCCTCCTGGAAGCCAGCATACCACTGCTCAGCCGCCTCTGAAAAGCAACCTGCCTGCGGCGTGAACAAGGCCATAAAGAGTGGAGAATCTTCAGATAACATTTGTGAATATGAGAAAAGAAAAAGGGGTCTAATGTCTATAAAATAGGAGTCAGCTTTACACAAAAGGAGTCAGCAAAAATTTAAGCTTTTTATATCTGGTAGTCAAGCAACTTATAGAACAGAAGATTCTGCACAGACCTAAATAAATAGCAATATATTAAGTCTGTTAAATTGTGAAAAAATATATCTTATATACACACACACACAAAAGGCTTTGTTTATCACCAATGCATAGAGCAGATCACTGCAGCAACCTATAATGGTAAATAAATATATTTGACTCTGCCTGACCGCCGTATAAGTTCATTCATTTCATTTTAAAATAATAGCTAGCTGCCCTTTACAACATATCCATGATTGCTTTCATAGGACTAGAAGTATAAATATGTAAACTTTAACACAAGAAAATGCAGCAATAGCGCAGAATATCTGAACAAGGCAAAAGGTGAACTTTTATATCCAGGTAGGTCTACTTTGATATGTACTCCTGGGTCACCCAACTAATGATGCCCAGTCTTGTGGGGTGCATTCATTATTATATCAGAGTCTGTCATATTGGGACATCCATGTGGATGTCACTGAGACCTGATTATGGGGACAAGTTCGATATAGATCTTGGTTTTCAGAGCTCATTTGACCCTATATTCCAGTTACATGCCAATAGAAAGAATAAACTGCCCGTATCAGAGCATTATAGGCACAAAGTTTTTTTAAAACACAAAACAATGCTTTAACAGCGGTTTAAACTTACCGTGTTATCGCTGTGCGCTCCCGCCGGAGAATCTGAAACTGATCGAGCGGCCGCAAAGCATCTCGGGGCGGCGCATGCGCAGTTCGGATTCTCGGCCGGGAGACGCAAGGTAAGTCTATGGACGCGTGCACCCGCATGCAGACACCGCTGGATCGGAAGTGCCCGCAAGCAGAGAGGAGTCAGCGCTGGATCGGAGAGCCGCCGCACCGCTAGAGGGCCGATGAAAACATCAGGAAAGAAGAAGATCGGATTAAGAGACATCATTTAAGGTAAGTGCTGACATTAACATTGGGGGAGGGAAAAAGATTTATCCTTTAATGTCACTTTAAGAATTCCATGTCACGATTTAGAAGAGAACTATAGGATAGGTGTTTTTCCCCATAGTTCTCTTTAGGCCCGATTCACATGTAGCGAATTATCGCGCATTTTTGCCGCGCAATATCGCGAGAAGTCGCCGGCCAATGCTATTCAATGGAGCTGTCTTAACTCCATGTCGCGCGTCGCTTCTACCGGACCCTTTTTTCGGCGGATTTTGCTTTTTTCTATGGAGCCCCACGGAGAAGGTCGCGCTACAGTCGCTGGATCGTCGCCCCGAAAGTCGCGCTATCCCGGCCGCTGCAAAAGGTATGTCGCTACATGTGAATGGGGTCTTAGGGTCACGGGAGGGCATATACTAGCATACTCCCTTAAAAAAAAAAGCTCCGTATATCACAGGCTATTGCCCGCTATATACTGTGAGCGCCCCGCAGCCGGGACGGATCCCGACATTACTGTCGAGATCCACCCAGCTGCATGAGTGACAGTTGGCTCTGCCTCTAGATGTGCCCACCCCCTCCTCCATCTGTCCCTCCAAATCAGCGCTGGAGGATCGGAGAGGGAGGAATCCCCACGCGGAGCGGTGACTGACAGTCACGGCTCACTGCAGGGAGACGATCGGGAAGTGAGCGGATCGGCTGCATGTTTCTGCTCACTTCCCGATCGATAGAGCCGACCTGTGACAGCTTCTTTGTCACAGGTTGGCTCTAACTATGAGGATAAGTGGAAATCACTCACCTCATACTTCTCCTTTAAGTCTAACGAATGTCCAGCATTTAGAGATTTCTGTGGTAGACTGAAATGTTTATGGACTAAATCACCGCTACGTTCAGGAATCTTGGAAGAGTCTATTCTGGAAATTGAGACGATCAGTAATGTATTTGTGGGAACAGTTTTACTTTAAAGCAAACCTATATTAAAGTATAAAAGACGTAAGACGCATGTTATGTTCTGAGACCCACAAATACAGACAAGCTTTAATATGCAAAGAAGGTCCAGCTCCCTCCTGCACCTCACTGGTGGCCCTGTACTGATATTGGAGACATTAATAACCAATGCTGAAATGTAGGAGGTTGACCAGAGCCTGGAGCTGGTCATTATTAGTATATCAGAGTACTCTACATGCTCAAGGGGCCCTGTCACTACAGGATCGAAAGTGAGGGAAGCAATACTTGTATAAAAAAAACCCCGCAATATCCCATTCCAGCGATCCATGATGGGGTGTTCATACCTGGCTGCTGCAAGTATAGGACCCATCCCATGAGCCAAATGCCCTCTCCTGTAACACACAAGCTGACAGAAAGAACTACAGCATTTGGTGTGGGAGCAGGTATTCGACACACTTGGAAATGGGAAATAGAAGTGGCAGTGGTTAGACACAGATTCCCAGATAGGGACGTATATTGACTCCTCATTTACAGGCATTGATATTCTCAGTGACAGGGCCACAATTAGGGCTCCAAGGGTGACCAACCCTAAATCACAAATGTTGTGTAGGCACATGAAGAAGCGGCAACATTTTTACCATGTTTTATACCCACTGGTGCCATTAACCTGGAAGCATGAAACAAACAGAAGTTCCAATCAGGTTTCATGGTCAATATTCTTGTGCAAGAAAGGAAAAGTCTGATTGGTAGGTTTCTGAGGAGCGTCTGCACCGCCATGACACAACCCGCTGCAAAACGCATAGCAGCCTCCCACCCACCGAATTAGATAAAGGAGTCCCCGGTCTAAAGATAATATCTTGTAAAGCAAAAAAGTCACTGCAATTGTAGTCCATTCATTCTTCCTCCTGTCCATGCTACTGAATAGTCACACCTCAGTACAGCCAGGGATGGGGGAGCAAGAATCTGCCGCACCCAAAGCCTTGCACCTGTGATCCACTGATTGCGGTTGCAATGCTTTACTGGCTCCATTGCATTCATTTTGTTTTTTAAAGATGGAATTTACCTTTAAATACTTATCTTCATCTCTGGTACAGAATCCTTTACTACACTGGGCCCGGTTCCTCTGCCTTGTGTGGATGCGAGCTGTAGCCCCATTCATTGTTATAGTTTGTACTCAAGGTAGCCCCCAATCATCGAGCAAAGTATGGGTCATCCATAGGAATGAATGCGGCTGCTGCGTGTGCACTTCCCATGTAGAGGACCCAGTCAGCATAGTTTAAATGCAAAGGCTGTGTGAAGGCAGACACAGCCGGGAAGAACTTGATACCAGGGATAAGGGCAGGTATTCAAACATGCCAGCTACACTCAAGGGGCTGGGAGTCTATGTTAAGCTGAACTCCAGGCAAACAGCTGAATACACAGATAAAAGGGAGCCAATTCCCTGTCAGAAATGTTTTTCTTCAATCCAATCCTGAGATTTGCACAGTTCTGCCACATAGAACAGGTTTGTCTGGCAAGGGAGGGAACCTGATTCTTCCCTGCTGCTGTTAAGTAACACCTAGCAGTCTGGTCTCAGCCCCAGCCCGTGACTGAACAATGAAAGTAGAAACATCAGACTGATGAGCTCATCTCTGTCACTCCTCTCTCTCCTCCTATCAGCATGTCTCTTGTTAGCATAGGAGCACTGCAGACAGCTGACTGGCATCTTGTGCTTCTCCCGTTTCCAGTACTTCTTACACTGCTTGAATTCGAAAAAAGGATATAAATTTAATGATATATTAATACATCTAGAGCTGTAATAAACCTGTCTCTTATGTCTGGCTGGAGTTCAGCTTCAAAGAATAAGCTCACTGAAAGTGAAGTTGACTTATAAAAAAGGTTTGTTAACAGTGTTGTACAGTGCAAGTGTTCTGAACCATGCCCAAGATAGTTTGGAAGCAGTGGCGTCACAAAGGGGGTGCTGCCCGGGTGCAAGAGTGACACCACCGAGAGACCAACAGTTTTGCGAGAGAGGGGACCCGGCGGCATTCCTTATCCTGCCGAGAGACTGTCCGCTCCTCTCTCTGCCGGCGTCCATCACAAAGATGGCCATCGGTCGGTATCAATAAGATCGCCACACATGTGCGGTGACATCACAGCGGGGTGTCACCCAGTAACCGCTCCCTGGGACACCCATGTTTGGAAGAGGTGGTCCGTGGGCACGGTTCACTTAAATCTGGCGTGGTTTACTTTAGTGTGAGTGCAAAACGTGCCCCTTTACTGAAATCTCCCTGAAGGAGGAGACCCATGGCGAAAGAGATGATGCAAGCGTGCTCAGGAATGCTTCCTTGTAGCACA